AAGAAAATGACTTACCAAATAACTCCCAATAACCTCAGGAACAATGCTAATTCAAACTAAAATGTAACTTATTCATTAATTTTGGACCCAAGTTTAATGAATACCAGCAAGAAAGGTTAAGCTTGAGAAGCAGCATTAGCTATGCAGTTACAATTGTAAGGCTGCCTTAAAGATAAGCTCAGGGATTTTTCAATGTGTTTAGCAGCCATCCTAAAATATCAATACAATCACTAAGCCTGTCCCTCTTCTACATTTATGAACTCATACAAGTCATTCCATCACTTAAAAATACTCAAGAATATCAACAGTAACCTGGATAAATGATATTCACAATTATTGGCCTTCTGCTTTTCCTTAAGATTAGATTCTCACCTCCTTAACTATAAACCCATTTGTAAACTTACACGAACTAGCGAAATAATTCTACTATCAATGAGCCACCAGTAATAATCCACTTTCACAACGTCTAAAGAAGATACTATGAATAAACATTGTATAATCATGCTAGAAGATAACTTAGAAAGATGAATCCAGATCATTTAAAAAACGCATATCCTTCAACCCAGTAATTCTACTTCTGCATCCTTAGGAAAGAAGACTGATTTACCAGGAAGTTCATTATGATTTTCTTTATAGGAGAACTTAGAAAATAACATTTAACCATGGGGATAGATTAAATAAATTATGGTATAGACATATAAAACATTATGCTAAAAATGAAGACACAGATATAGAAAAATGACCAAAATATATTGTTCAGTTAGAAAAATGAGTTAGAAAATAGTACATATATGATCTCATACTTTCACTAAAAAGTATGTAAAAGAACGAAACACAACCAACTTTACATGCCTTCTGATGAATAAATGCTCCACCTTCTATGAAGTAGTATCAACCCACAAAAAAACAAAAACTAGAATCTAATCAAACTCCTACATTCAACCATAATGTACAGAAAATACAGAGGATTGGGGAACATTCTAAATGTAACCATGGAGACGCAAAGAGAAAGATTCTGAAACTCTTTAAGTGACAAAACAGTTTCTTCTACAATTAATTGTAAGGAAAAAGAGAGAGATGGAAGAATCAGTAAATTGAACAGTATCTAAGACACAGTATCAATCAGCTTCAAATATGAACTTCACTTAGATCCTGATTCATAATGAAAATTATGAAAACAAGATTATAACATTTATGAGACAACTGAAATTTTGAATACTGCCAGGATGGATATTTGATGCAAGGAATTTGTTTTTTAGCTAGTTTTTTTTTTTAAAGAGTCATTATCTCTTAGAGGTATGTCTAAAATTTGTTTCAAAATAATATAGGGTGAGGACAGGTGAAATGCGGGTACAGATGAAACAAGACTGTTGTGAGGTGATAAATACTGGAGTTGGATGATTGTTATACGGAAGTTCATTATACTGTTCCATCTGCTCTTATATATGTTTAAAATTTTCCCATTTAAGTTTGCATAGTTCTGGAAGAATATATGCCAAATGACAATTGCCTTTAGATGGTAGATTTCATGGAGGATTTTTATTTTTCTTTCTTTATTTTAATTTTCTATTTCTTCTCCATTGAATATGTTTTAATTTCATATTTAAAACATAAAGTGAAAAATTCCCCAGTAATCTCACACTTTACATAATAAACATGAACCCTCTGACTCTTCTTACCTGATGTCTGCTTAGTGCAGATACTAGAATAATGGGAGTTATAAACTATAAACTAATGAGTTTAGCTTAAATAAGAAAAAAATATCTTTTAAATGTTTTTCCTTACATCTTCTTAATTAGACCAAAGGAATTTTGTAGTGGGTCAAAGAAGTTAACCATATTCTACAAACAAACTGGTAATAACAATTTCAAAATCCACAATATATTATCTGACTTCTAAAGGATTCCTACCCACGTTCTTTAATGACACTGTTGAGCTGTGATTTCCTTAACACTCCTCTATTTTAGCCCTCTGTATTAGCAGTGTTATCAAAAATGCTCTATTAAAAAAATCAGAGAGCTGCGTCTTACCGGTGGCAAAGAATGCCGCCCACATTCAATTGTGACAAGTTTGTGGCACTTCTTATGGACCAGGAGTTTGCAGTTGATGCACTTATATCCCTGGCGTCCAAGCCCCCATATTCGGTCAGTGCAGATGGCACAGTGGGCACGCTGGAGGGAGTAATGCAATAGCATTTTATTAACAACAACAAAAAAAGGTCATAATCATTTCCCAACAGTTTGCTCATGAAACAGTGACAATAAATGGCTTTCTTCTCTAATTCAATTCCCATCATCATATATAACTTGTACAAAGTTCACGATCACGGGAAAATAAACAGAAATGAGAGCTTGTTTTAAAGAGACAGCAAAAATAAAATAGACAGTGAAATTTGCAACCATGTTGTTTTCTAAGTCCAAGAATTTTCAATCTTCGCTAATTAAGTACAGAGCAATGAAAATAGGAAAAATGAATTAAACTTGAGAAACATATGGCAGAAAAAGCTGTGCAAGGACTCACAAGGAAATCTTCCAGACTGTTCAGAGGTCAAATCAAAGCCTTGTTCTTCTCTTAGACACCTAAAGGATTTCTCATTTCAAAGCTTTTCAAGTATCAGTGCTAAAGGGAACAACAGGTTAGGATACTTGGGTGATGGCTTCTATTTATGAACTATAGAAATGATCCCTGAAAGTATAGTCTTGGTGGCCTCTATTTATATTAATAAATTCAGAACATAACACTAGTCCTAGAATAGGAATGGAGTCCATACATTTGTAGTTATCAAGAGCTGTGTCATCTTGGGCAAGTTAACTGCAACTCAGTTTCTTCCTCTATAAAATGGAAATATATAGTACATACCTCATAAGGTTCTTGTAAGGGAACAAACGAGTCACTACATGTCTTTTGGAAAAGTGCTTGGTATACAGTAAACACTAGATAAATGTCTGCGATTACCACTTTCTAAACAGTGAAAACTAAAAGTGCAACAGTAAATGGTTTGCAAAATAAACCTTGTTTATTTTCTGGCTTTCTTAAATTATATTAAAAAATCCAACTTTCTTACAGCTAGGGTAAACCATATAATTAATCATCCAATCTGGAACATTTTTTAAGAGTCAAAGGAGATGCTATTAAAAATTGCCTCAAGATAAAGATGTACTGCCCCAGGCAAACTGGGAATTTTAGATCAGCCTACTTACTCTTTAGAAGAGAATAACAACCTTTCTTTCACAGCAGAGAGGGAAAAAACAGATTTTTCAAATTATCAACGTTCAACAAACTTAAGGTTTACCCTGTTGAAACGTTTGGCTTGAAAAGTATGGCCATTTGCACAATAAAGCTTTCTCCAGCGGCGTGCACCTCGGCGGTAGATGGATTCTGAAGAGAGATTAAAAGTTAAAAAAGAAAAAGAAAAAAGCAAGGGTGAATTAAGTCATTTTGTAATTAAGTCTGTGATTTTTTTCATGATATTCATTGTAAGAAATAATATAAACTGATAAAAATCTGAAAGTAAAAAAACTGATTCATCAAGAGACTAGACGAAAGTAAATAACTACTGATTTTCTATTTCTTAATTTTCCCCTAACTTCTAATTTTGGAAAATTTTTAAGCCCAAGAACATCTGAAAGAATAAACACCTCCATCCTTACCTTGATTTATCAACTACTGTCATTTTGCACATTAGCTTTCCTCTCTGGTTTATACATACTTTTTTTTTTTTTCTGAATCATTTAAAAATAAATTGCAAACATTGTAACACTTTACCCTGAAATATCTTAAGTATCCACTGCCTGAGATTAAGGACATTCCCCCTAATTCTATTTAACCACAATATCATTAACATATCTTAGAAAATTAACATTAATTCAATCTCGCCTACTATACAGTTCATATGCAAATTTCCCTATTGCCTGAAAAGTGTCTTTCATAGCTTTCTTTTTCTCCCCAGGATCCAATCAAGATTTAAGCATTGCACTTCTTTGTTATACCTTTTTTGTCCTCTAAAGTATGCTAAAACATTCACTCTGTCTTTGTTGTTTATTTTCATGATGTTGACTTTTTTTTTTAAAGGATCTAGGCAGGTGTCATATTATGTCCTACATTCTAGACTTGTTTGTGTCCTCATTAGAGTCAAATACATTAAGGATCTGTAACACACTTCCCAGGTTAAAAAAAAAATTCCCAGATAAAAAAGTATTAAATACTTTTGGCGAAAATAATACACAGGTGATGTGTTTTTCTTACTACACCACATGAAGAAATACACAAATGCAAGATTGTTGACTCCCACTAGGTGTTCCATCACTCTGTTAAAGGCAGTGATGCCTAGTTTTCTTCCCTGTAAAGTATATTTTTGTAAGTACTTTATAAGGGACATTTTGTACCATAAGAATATTCTCTTCTGCAACAACTTTTTATCCAATGGCTCTTATACTTTTTAAATACTTTTAAGTATTTTAAATACTTTCCTAAACAAATTAAGAGGTTCCATGAGATCCAGTCAAGTCCACTGGTGCAGTTTTGGTTAAGTCAATCACCATTATATATATATTGTCTATTAGTCATTAATAGTAAGATTCCAGTAATAGTAATACTGTGGAGATTTCATTTCTAGTCATATTTTCAAGCAAGTGTAACACTGGGTCTACTACTTAAGATTAAGATAGAAAAAATAGTTGAAATGCTCTGAATTAGAAATTTTGAGATAACATTGTACAGAACCTGAGATTCTTTTATTTTTAATTATTTATCCTGTTAGAAGTAACCAAAGCAGGTTTCTGTTATTATCTTAATTTAAAAGAACATCTTATTTCAGAAGCTTTCATGAACTACAGTTTGTTATATCTTAAATTTAAACATGTTAATGTTGCCTAGAAATTAAAAGAGCCAATGCTACGGAAACAACAGGCCAGCCAAGAAACAAGCACCACTTGGAGGGCTGGAGCGCTCAGATGTA